AATTTTTGTGGTAACATTATTTATTATTTATTAATAAAGTGAGCATTTCTGGTGAAAAGAAAATTTTACGACATAATATTACCATTATACATTCCGTTATTTGTAGAAAATTTTCTCACGAATCTTTTGTGTAAATCTTTGTTGTGCGAACATATCCAAATTTTTTTTTTTTCTTAAAGTTGGAGTAAAATGTTTTAATTTTTTGAAAGTTTAAGAAAGAGTTGAAGGATTGATGAAATGATTTTGTTTTTTTAATTTACTTATATACCTCATGATGAAACGTAATGAAACTACTCCGCTAATAATTCACGAGACCTGGATTCGTGTTGACGTAGATTTCGCGTTGATAACAAATTTAATTATAATAATATTTATGGTTAAAAATATTTTTATCGACCAATTACTAAAAAGGACTTCTTAAAATCCCGTGAGTAGCTCTCCGCCATAAATACAAACCATGGCTAAATAAGGTTGATAAGAGGAAATTACTAGAAATAAACTATTTTATTTTTTGAGAGGGATATAAATTTACCATAACTTTTATAAAGGTCCGTTTTTTTTTTTCACTCCTTTTTCACAACATTCAATGAGTTCTACTTATGCATATCATAATAACGTACAAAATAATTTATCAAGATCGATAAAATATTATTTTCGTAGATATTTGGGTTCAAAATATTCTAATATAGACCCACAACCAAAACCATCTCACGTCAGAATCGTCATATGGTCATTTATCACTTCGTTTGTTGGCATTGGAACTTTAGGTTTATTCACTTGGAATATTGAATTCTTTCGTGAAAGAGAAATACCTGTTAGTATCAGTAGTATGGGAGCTACCGCCATATTGATTTATGGTACTTGCGATTCACCCTTGGCTCAACCAAGGAATCTATGTGAGTTTGATCAAAATATCAATTCCTTTCTAATTCCTCCAATTTTTAAATCGTCCGTACCTTTTGAAATTAATGCGCGTAACCTTCTTTTTTTAGATTTAGGACATATAACGTCCTCGTTAATTGGAATCACCGTGAATATAATGATGAAACAAATCACTGCAAATCCCATAGGTTACAAATGGTTAACATGCGCGTTATCGGTCTCTCTGTCAATGTTAGTCATGCAGCTGACCAATACAATTCATCCACCGGCTGGCGCAACAGCATTAATGTTAGCATTAGACGATCCAAAAATCACCTCTCTCGGTTAATTGTTCCAGTATTGCTTGGAGTGACGCTAATGTTTGTAATATCGTTAATATTACTCAATATTCAAAATAAATATCCAGTTTATTGGTGGAAACAAAAGGTTATCGATGATCAATGTCCCGACTTTCCGGTTCGTTCGCGAAATGATGACCTTGAAGTTGGGCGGCATGTGACTTTTACAACCCCTGCTTTATCATTTAACGTTCGGAAAGAAAATCGTGAAAGGTTTCATAATAATAATAATACAAGTCAATCGAATTCTCTTTCTGAAATTACTTTAGCAAATAAATCACTCGATTCATCATCTCGCTCCAAACAGGTGCAACAACACGAATTGAGCTTAAGTGAAGCAAATGAATATATTTCCAAGTTGGAAAATGATTTAAACGAGCTTCGAAGCCTTATTCAACAACTCGAATTATAAATGTTCACAAACGACATTTCTTAACAAACACTAAAGTTTCAGA